CCTTCCTCTTCCTCCCTGTGATCGTTCTTTAATTCATTTGTTTTGCCGATCGGCGCGGGCCCCCCAACCCCCCCTCCCCCCCCATGGAGTAGATCTTGCTGTTTTTGGGCGCCTGCTTCGAGCGGGTGGGGTTTTCCCCCAGAGGCCTCATTCTTGCGAACAGTCACACTAAGCAGAGGTCTGGCACAGACCCCCCCTCCCCCTTAGCTGCCCAATGTCGAAACGCCGAATGAAAAAACACTCACTTGGGCTCAGGGCTCGGCTGCACGTAACCCAGGCCCCTGCGAGTCTTGACAAAATCAGGAGGTAAACCAGCAAACACAGACACAATGAATCATCGGCTTCCAGGAAATTCTGGAAACATATTGGATATGGGGGGGAAGACGAAAGCCCAGAGAGTATGGGAAAGTATGGGGAATCCTGGGATCTGTGTGTATTTATGTGTGTGCCCGCGGGCTCCTTTCTGACAAACATGACGACGGCGGGTTTGGGGTCGTTTTCGGCCTTCTGGGCTTGAGCTTGGGCCCCCTAGACTGGCGCCACATGGTAATTCAACTCTTGCCAACGGTCATCCGAGGAGGTGGAGGAGGAGGAGGAGGAGGAGGAGGTGGAGGAGGAGGAGGAGGAGGAGTCTGGGGATCCTGGGAGGGCCTGGCCGCCACGGCTGGACCCGCCTCGGAGTTCCCTGGCCAGGGCGCACCCCTTGAGACGCCCGCGGTGTAGCGGCAGATTGGTGCTTTCTCATTTCTGAAGGGCTTGTTTTCCACCGCCACCACAAGTTGGAGAGGAAGGAGGAGGATGAGGGGGAGGAGGAGGAGGAGGAGGAGGAGGCGGAGGAGGAGGAGGAGGAGGAGGAGGACGAAGAGGACGAAGAGAACGAGGAGGAGGAGGAGGAGGAGGTGGTGGAGGGGGAGGAGGACGAGGACGAGGAGGGGGAGGACCCCCTCCCCTCCCCCTCCAACTTATGGAAGTGATGGTGGGAAACAGGCCCATCATCATCTCCAATGGGCTGGTCTTACCCTGGCCAGGCCATGGCGCACCGACCCTGAGGTCCTGACGCTGCGACTGTTTCACAACGGTCGCCTTCGCCCAACCTCGGGCCCCGCATAGGACCCTCACAGATGGATCCGGCTCGACATCTGCCGTGGAAACATCTGGGTCCAAGGGGGCTCCAGCCTTCACTATTTGCCCTGCTGCGGTCCCAGAGATCAAGCGTCGTGTTTTATTCCAATACGGGGTCCCCGGAAGTCCCGACCCACTCCCCCAGAATTGGTTTTCATCCTGAGTCGTGCTCTGACGCTCCCGAGGTCCGGCGAGGGCCCCCGGGGGCCGCAATTGGCGAGAAGGGCTTCCGCCGTGGTTTGTATCCGTGCGTTTGGGATCTCGGGGTCTGGCCGCAGCGCTGGCTCTCCGGGGGCCCCGAGAGGCCCACTGGAATGACCGTGGGGGGTTCTAAGTGGATATAGAGGGGTTGCAAGTGGATGGCAAGGTGGGTCATATCTGTCCCAACCCAGCTTACAATTGGGTTATATACAATTTCACCGAGTGGCCTAGGGGGGTTCGATAATTCCGCTCAATGGGCGCAGCCCACTTAGCTCGGATCGTTGACCTCCTAATTCAGCTACTTGGGGCCCGTGTAGCCTCCTTATAAGCCAGGGTGGGCCAGATATAACCCACCTTGGCATCCACTTGTAACCCCCCCGATCCACTTGCCAGAGATCCGATGTCCTGATTTTTTCAATGCGGGGTCCCCAGAAGTCCCGACCCATTCCCCAGGACCAGTTTTTCATCCCGAGTCGTTTTCTGGCACTCCCGAGGCCCGGCGAGCTCCCCTGGAGGCCGAAACTTGCGAAAACCCCCCGTCGTGATTTTTTCCATGCGTTGGATCTCTGGGCTGGCAACCCCCACGGGCATTCCAGCAGGAGTCGACTACACGTAAGAGTGACCTTTCGCCGGAGTGCCCTGTGGTGCGGGCACCATGGGGTCCCCCGATCACCGATTGCGATGCGATAGTGGCGTCTGGCGCGCCCGAGTTTGGTCCCCCCCGCGGCCCCCCCAAAAGCCGCGCACCACAGGCCACTCTTGCGCAGGGTCACTCGCAGAGGGGGGTAGGACAAGCTAGGTGCGCTCGCGTCATATCTGACGTCCTACCCCTCCCTCCCATCCCTTACCATGGCGCTGATTTTCTCTATCCGCGGACGCGTGTCGTAGCGGACCTGTGGCTCCGCGCGCGCGTGCGTAGTGGGTGGTGTGCACGTGCGTGCGTGCGTGCGTGCGTGTGTGCGTGGTTGTGGTGGTGGTGCTGGTGGTGGTGGTGGTGCTGGGTGCTGGTGCTGGTGCTGGTGCTCGTGCTGGTGGTGGTGCTGGTGCTGGTGCTGGTTGTGATGGTGGTGGTGCTGGTGCTGGTGCTGGTGCTGTGGTGCTGGTGCTGGTGCTGGTGCTGGTGCTGGTGCTCGTGCTGCTGTGCTGGTGGTGGTGGTGGTGGTGCTGGTGCTGGTGGTGGTTGTGCTGGTGGTGGTGGTGGTGTGGTGGTGGTGCGGCGCGCGTGGTGGCGGGCGGATGGGCGCGCGAGAAAGAGGCCCGCGCTGGGGCGAGAACGCCATCCTGAACGACGGAGGCCAAACACCGATCCGAAAATGAGGCCCACGCTGCAGCGGGAGCACGATCCGGAACGATTCGGGAGCAGAAATGAGGCCGGCGCCTCAGCGAGAGCATCAGTTAAAAAAGAAACGCTGTCGAAAACCCGTTTCCCGGGAATCCTGTGTTTTAAAAAACAGTACGCGGGGGGCGTTCGGCACGAAAATGACGCCGGCGCCTCAGCGAGAGTCGTTTCCTGGGATTTCCCGGGCATCCTGTGTGTTAAAAAACAGTACGCGGAGAATGCGCGGCCATCACCCGGACGCCATCAGGGGAAGAGGGAGGGTATTTTCATATTGAGTAATTGTGGAGGGGGGAAGGCTTCTGAGAAGCACCCCTGCTTCTTAGAAGGCGCTGGCCTTCTCGATAGACGTAAGGCCGGGGCCTTCTAAGACGCAGGGATGCTTCTAAGAAGCCTTCCCCCCTCCTCCTCCCCCCCTCTGCGCGCCGCTAACTTACGCAGGGTCACTCTCGCGTGTAGCCGAGGGAGAGCCGCCCTGCGCCGAGGGTCGACGCACGGTGCGCAGCGGGCGCCCTCTCCCGCGCCAGGGGGGGCGGCGGGGGCGGCGGCGGCGCCTCGCGCAGGGCGGGCGCGGCCCCGCGCCGGCGCCTGGGCCGGCCCAGGAGGCGCCGAGCGGCGGGGCACGAGCGAAATGGGCACGGAAAGAAGGGGTACAGTGCCCAACATCAGCGGATCTTGTTTTTTTTTTGAACAGGGCTCGTTGTCCACGCCGCCGCGGCCCGTGTCTCCGTTCGAGGCAGCAGGCCGCCTGCCCAAGAGCGGCCGCTGTTGGTTTGGGACAACATTTGTTGCTGGGCATTGTGCCAATGGGTACAATTCGCGGGTGGACAGAACCCCCAACAGTGACACGTCGATTAGTGAATTGTCCGTTTTCGGTTCTCGAGAGGGCGCCGTGGCCGTTATTTTCCAGGCTTGTGCCCGCCAGGTTTGGGCCTCAGGTCGTTTTCACTAAACCACGTTTTACTAAAGGGGGGTCTGTCCATCCCCGAACAATGCCCAACAACAAAGAGTGGGTACAGTGCCCAAGAGCGTCTCCTGCTCACTTCGAGCAGGACTCGCTGTCGGTGTCGCTGTCGATGCCGCCGAGGCGCCGCGCGGCAGGGCCTGTGCTGCAAGCGACGAGGCGTACGTCGGGCGTGTCCCCCTGTATGGGGCTTCTCGACGAAAAATAGAAGATCCCCCCAACATTTTCCACAACTGCCAACATATGCCCCCAAAGTAGTCCCCATATTATTTTTGGGGGCTATGTTTGGGGGTATGTTTTTTGTTTCGTCGAAAAGCCCCCCTGTAAGGGGACAGGCCCGACATCAGACTAGACCTAAGAGTGGCCTTTCGCCGGAGTGACCTCTGGTGCGAGCGCAGGTGGGCCCCCAGATGGCGGAGCGCGAAGCGGTAGCAGCGGCCAGCGCGCCTGGATGTGGCCTCCAAGCGGCGCCCCCCAAAGCCGCGCACCAAAGGTCGCTCTTACCCAGGGTCACTCTTGCGGATTGCCGATTCAAATGTTGCTTCCGCCGTGTGGGGGCGCCTGGCTTTTGGGAGGGAAAGGTACCCCCACCGCCACCCTTCGCCCGGTGTCCCCCCCAAATTTGGGCTTCCCGGAAGGCCCTCGTCGCCACTGCTGGATTCGCCACGAAATCCTGGCCCGAACACATCCCGGGAGAGGTCTGGGGGGCTCCGAGCGGCAGAGCACATGTTTCTGGGCCTCCTAGATACCCAGAGATCCAACGTATTGAAACAAAAAGCGACAGAGGTTTTCCGCTAATTGCACCCCCGGGGGGCCCTCGCCGGGCCTCGGGAGCGTCAGAAAACGACGCAGGACGAAAAGCCGGTCCTGGGGAATGGGTCGAGACTTCCGGGGACCCCGCATTGAAAAAAACACTGCGTTAACAGGCGTCCTGGATAGGGTCGGAGTAGATGGGGTCGGAAGATCGCGCCGCATCGTCGATACATCGCCGATGCGGCTCGATGCGGAGCCCGATTTTTTTCACGCGGTCGTTGCCGATGCATCGCCGACGTCGCCGATGCATCGCCAGTGCATCGCCAATGCATCGCCGATGCATCGCCGATGTATCGCTGATGCGGCGCGATCCTCCGACACCATCTACTCCGACCCCATCTAGGAGGCCTGTAATATTTGGTCCGCCGTTGGTGGCGCCTGCCCCCAATGGCGGCTGGGAGGCTTTTATCTGGAGGAGGGACACGCACTCCTACCGCTGCGCTTCGCCCGCTTTCCCCCCAAAGTTGGGCCTCCAGGGAGGCCCTCGTCGCCAGCGCTGGATTCGCCTCGGATTCTTGGCCCGAACGCACCCCGGGAGAGGTCCGGGGAGCAGCGGTGTCGGTGCCTTCTGGTTTCCCCATGCAACCCGACGTGCCAGCGTATGGGCATGCGGCATGAATCAGCAGTGCGCCTGGGGCGGGGGGGGGTGGGAAGTGAGGAGGGCCGGGCCTCCCCAGAAAAGTCTCGGAAGTCTCTCCCAGATGAGCTCTCGGAGTCTCTTCCCCCGGAGGCACGGAGGAAAGCCTCGCCGAAGGCCGGGGAGGGTCTCCGAGCAGCTCGGCCGCCTCCTGAGAAGGCCTTTTCCTTCGCGCTTCCCCTCCCCTCGCTCGCAGGGTTCCCAGCCGACCTGGGGCAGGCGTGCCCGACGGCGGGAAAGCTTATGAGGTGCCCCTGCTCGTACCCCGAGAGTCTGGTTGACCCCCAACAAGAGGGTCCACCTACAACGGGGGTGGAGGGTTTCTCCGAAGGGCTTAGGCGGCCCGTCCTCCTCCTTTCTCCTCCTCTCTCGTCCTCCTTCTCCTCCTCCTCCTCCTCCTCCTCCTCCTCCCACTACTACTACGCCTCCTTCTCCTCCTCCTCCTCCTCCTCTTCCTCCTCCTCCTCCTCCTCCTCCTCATCATCATCATCATCATCATCATCATCATCATCATCATCATCATCATCATCATCATCATCATCATCATCCTCCTCCTCCTCCTCCTCCTCTCCTCCTTCTCCTCCTCCTCCTACGCCTCCTCCTCCTCCCCCTCCTCCTTCCCCTCCTCCTCCTTCTCCTCCTTCTCCTCCTCCTCCTCCTCCTCCTCCTCCTACGCCTCCTCGCCCTCCCCTCCTCGGGTCGCCTACGGCCCCGGGGGGATCCGTGCGCAAGGGGGTGGAGCAATAGATCTGGTGCAACAGATCTGTGAGTTGCAATAGCTCTGGGGCGTGCTACACATTCTGAGGCGCAAGTGTATTGCTGGTTCCCTTCGCGTGCAATAGATCAGTTCCAACACAATCCAATCCAATTCCCCGGCGCAATGCATTGGACATACATTTGCCCCGAGTCTATTTTGAACCACCCTCTTTCAGATGGACGCCCTCCTCTCGGGGACGGCCAAGAGGGGGGTGATGACGAATGTCAGGTTGTGATTAACAAATTAATCCCCCCCGGGGCTGATGAATAGACCCCTCGGGGCGCGATACTTCCTTGAACTCACGCGCGCCAGGGGGGGAGGAGGAGAGAGGAGGGGGGGGGGGAAGAAAAGGAGGAGGAGGAGGAGGAGGAGGACGAGGAAGAGGAGGAGGAGGAGGAGGAGGAGGAGGAGGAGGACAAAGAGGAGGACGAGGAGGAGGAGGAGGAGGAGGAGGAGGAGAAGGAGGAGAAGGACGCTCGTGTCGGACGCGCGCCAAACCTCGCTCTGCGCCTTTTCTGTTGGCCCCGCTGCGGGCGGCGGGCGCGGATCCTGAAGGACGCGGGCCCTGGCGTTGCTTTCCTCGCTCTCGGGCCGCGCAGGCCTTCGGCGGAGCCCCCTCTCACGGCCCTCGGCGCGCCGCGACGCCGAACAGCGACCGAGGGCGACCTCCAGGGTCCAGGGCCCGTTTTTGTTCAGGGCACACTTCCGCCGTGGCGAAAGTAGGGGGCCAGATGCGAGCCCTACCCTTACCCCCCACGATTTCGGAGGGGGTAGGGGTAGGGTTCGCATGTGGCCCCCTAGAAAGATACTCCGGCCCGAGCGGCGACGAGAGCGGCCGCTGGAAACGGGCGCAGGCTGGGCGGGGGAAGGCGGCGACGACGGCGACAGGGGGGGAGGAGGACTGCCCGCCTTGCTCGGGTCGGACGGAGGGTTGGGGAAGGACATGGGGGTCTGCGAAGCCTGCTGCGCGCAGCTGGTTTCGGTCCCCCCGCACGGCCGCTTTCTGCGCCATGAGGCGTTCGGAAAATCGGCGACGTGAGCTGCTTGTCAAATCCCCCCTTTGCTGCGCCCCACTTTCGTCCAGCTCGCCTTGCCCTCAGGCCTGCATCGGTTCGACAGAAAGAGGGGCGCCCTGGCTATCCCTTGCCTCCCGACCCCCCTTTTCCTCTCGTTGGTGGCCGGGCGTCGGCGCTAATCAGCGGTGCCGCTTTGTTGATTTTCAATATGGCTGGTGCCACCCCACGATTCGCCCGAGCAGGGGAACTATGTCCCCACATCCTCAGTGGGTGTCTGGCTTTCCTAGAACACCCTCTCCTTCTCCTTCTCCTCCTATTCATACTTCTCCTCCTTCTCCTCTTCCTCCTTCTCCCCCCTCTTCCCTCTCTTCCCCCTCTTCTTCCATACCTACCATTACATGGCATACCTACCATACCAATACCAATACCATACTACCATACCACACCTACCATATCACTCTTACCAGGCCATACTTACCACACCAACCCTACCATACCATACCATGCCATACCTACCATACCATGCGTTACTATACCATACCAACCGAACCATACCATACACCTACCATACCATACCACACCTACCATACCAACGCTGCCATACCATACCTACCACGCCAGGTAGGCCCCGCCAGACAGGCCATTACAATTCCCACTCCTCCAGGGAGGCCCCGCCTGAGCGAGGAGGGCATTCGCAAACCAAGCTATTCATCAGGTTTCGTGCCCCTCCCACTCCTGCAGGGAGGCCCCGCCTGCGCGAGGAGGGCATTCGCAAACATTCTTATTTATCAGGCTTCGTGCCCCTCCCATTCCTCCAGGGAGGCCCCGTCTGACCGAGGAGGGTATTCGCAAACCGTGTTGTTTATTCGGTTTCGTGCCCCTCCCACTCCTCCACAGGGGCGCCACCTGATCGAGGAGGGCATTCGCAAACCATGGTTTTTAAAAGGTTTCGTGCCCCTCCCATTCCTCCAGGGAGGCCCCACCTGATCGAGAAGGGCATTCGCAATCCATGTTGTGTATCAGGTTTCGTGGCCCTCCCACTCCTCCAGGGGGGCCCCGCCTGAGCGAGGAGGGCATTCGCAAACCAAGCTATTCATCAGGTTTCGTGCTGTTCCCACTTCTCCAGGGAAGCCCCGCCTGAGCGAGGAGGGTATTCGCAAACTGTGCTATGTATCATGTTTCGTGCCCCTTCCACTCCTCCAGGGAGGCCCCGCCTGAGCGAGGAGGGTATTCGCAAACGCTAGTACTTCTAAGGTGCCGTACACCTCCCACTCCACCAGGGGAGCTCCGTCTGAGCGAGGAGGGCATTCGCAAACCATGCTATTTATCCGGGTTCTTGCTTCTTCCATTTCTCCAGGGAGGCCCCGCCTGAGCGAGGAGGGCATTCGCAAATTTTGCTATACATGTGTGTAAATATATAGTTTCGTGCCTCTTCCACTTCTCCAGGGACGAACGCGTTTCCGAACAGCCGTCTGCTCCCTTTCCTTGCCTTCTGTCGCACACATCTTGACGATGACCCTTCCATCGATACATATATATATATATACACATATATACATGTATATATATAGAACAGCTCCATTGACACCACTCCGCATATTTTTTACAAACGCCCCCCCCCCCCACTGATTTGTTAATCATAAGCTGACATGAGTGGGGGCGGATATCCGGCGGGGGCCATGATATCCCCCCCCAGATGTCATGGCGTCCCTTCTTATGTAAATACGCCCCCCCCCCTCCCCTCCAGGCCGCGCACGTGCCGCCGACCATACTTTGCGCCCCCCTCTTGGACGCCCCCTCCTGCCCGCCCCCGATCTTGGGTCCGAGGAGAAGTTGGAGGAAGAGGAGGAGAAGGATGTGGAGGCGGAGGCGGAGGATGAGGAGGAGGCGGAGGGGGAGACGGTGGAGGAGGAGCAAAAGAAGGAGGAGGAGGAGGAGAAGGAGGAGGAGGAGGAGGAGGAGGAGGGGGAGGAAGAAGATGAGGAGGAGGAGGAGGAGGAGGAGGAGGAGGCGGAGGAGGAGGAGGAGGAGGAGGGGGAGGAGGAGGAGGAGGAGGAGGAGGAGGAGGAGAGAAGGAGAGGAGGAGGAGGAGGAGGAGGGGAGGAAGAGAAGGAGGAGAAGAGGAGGAGGAGGGGAGAAGAGAAGGAGGAGGAGGAGAGGAGGAGGAGGAGGAGGAGGAGGAAGAGGAGGAGGTGGAGGAGAGGAGGAGGAGGAGGAGGAGGAGGAGGTGGAGGGGGAAGGAGGAGGGAGGAGGAGGAACCAAAGAGAGGCTGGGCGCGGACGCCGCGCTGCGGCTGCGGCGGGAGATCCTCCGCGGCGCCGCGGATGCCGCCGGCGGCCTGGCCGCGCTGCAGTCCTTGGCGCCGCGGCCACCGGTGCTGCACCTCCCGCGCGGCGGCGGCGGCGCCCCGCCGCGCGGCCCGTGCGTGCTGCTGAGCGCGCAGCGGCGGTGGGCGCTCGAGCGGGACATCTCATACGGTCAAGGCGCTGAAATCAGGAACAGATGTCACGCTGAGAGCTCATGCATTCCGCAGATGTCACGCGAGTGCGCTTCGTGGCTTCGAGGGTCACCGATTGCGTTCCACTGATCGCAGAGTGCCCGCTCGCAAACGTCCGAGCAAAAACACTGTCTGTCAAGGCGCTGAAATCAGGAACAATTTGGGGTCGGAAGGGGCTCGATGTTTCTCAGGTTCCTCCAGTGCTGCTCCTCTTGCCCTCCTCGGCCACGGAGACGCTTGCAGGGCCAAGAAGGGGCTTCGTTCCTTATTTAGCGTTCCCTCTTTTAGCGGCGGTGGGTGCTCGAGCGGGACGTCTCTAAGGGCACGAAGAACGACATAAACATCAAAACTCGGAGGTCCGCGCGGACTTCTCGGATCGGCGCTGGACTCCCCTGGCGGCGCCTCCAGCACCGCCCCTGGCGCGCTCCGCGTGCCGGAGAGGGGGCTCAAGCGCCGATTCGAGAAATCCGCGCGGACCTCCGAGTTTTCATGTTTATGTCATTCTTCGTTCCCCTAACCTCATAGCCGACGAAGACGAATGCCTGCGCAACGCCGCGTAAGAACTGCGTAGGGTCAGGCCACGCGGTCGTTCCTTGTAGAGACGTGACCATACCACTGCGGGAACGATCGTCCCGGGGACCACCCTGCGCAAATGCCTGCGCAGTGCTGCGTAAGAAACGCGTAAGGTCAAGCCACGCGGCCCCTCCTCGCAAGATTCTAAAGTAAACCTTTCCGCAGTCGGGGACGCCTGCCCCATGGCGGCTGGGAAGTTTATACCCCGACGTGCCACCAGAAGGGTATAAATTGTCCAGCCTCCCTGGGGCAGGCGTCCTGGGCGGCGGAAAGGTGTGTTACACCGTTTTTTGTCTGCCAAATCTCGGAGGAGGAGACCCAGACCCCCTCGAGCAACGCAACAAAATATAATGACGGGGCCGTTTTTCGCCACTTTCGGCCTCTGGGTGCCCTTGCCAGGCCTCGGGACCGTCAACAAATCGATTCGGGACGAAAAACGGATCCCGGGGAGTGGGTCGAGACCTGGGGGTCGACGTCATCAAACACTCCTGACGTCGGGAGTCTGGGACAGGTACCCCTGCTGCTATCCTTCGCCCGTTTTTTCCCTCTCCTGGGGCCTCCTGGAAGGCCCTCGTCGCCACCGCTGGATTCGCCTCGAAGTCCTGGTCAGAAGGCCCCCCGGGAGAGGCCCGGGGACCAGCGGCATCGGCACCCTCTGGTTTCCCCAAAAAACAGCGGAGAGCAGGAGCAGCGCGGCGGCGAGGGCCGAGTCCCAGCCCTCGTCGAGAGCGACTCTTCGAGCAGCTCGATGCGTGGCGGGAGCAGGGCTCGACGTTCTGCGATCGAGCACGCGGCAGCATCCGGACCCCACCGATTCGCGAGGCAGAGCTCGGATGTCGCCACCCAAATAGCCAGCCTGAACAACCTAATTGGGGGGGTCCTCCTCCTCCTCCACCTCCTCCTCCTCCTCCGAGAAATGATGCTTTTATGCCAGCTTTGGTGTCTCCAGGACACGCTGCTGGTCATCGTGATCATGGAGACGGTGGTGCTCGTGATGACGCTGGGGGTTCCGCTCTGCCGCTACAGCGGCGCTCGCCTCCTGGGCTGGGGCATCAAGAGGGCCATCATGTCGTTCGACAAGAGCCTGTTCGGAGCCAAGGTCGGCGACACAAGAACTCGTGGTCGACTGCGGCGACGCTGGCGCGTAAACTGCCCGCGTAAGGTCGCGCGTGAGCGCCCTCGTCTCCAGATAAGCATGCCGCGGTGGCAGCCCGCGTAAGCCACCGCGCAAAGTCGAAATGCCATCTCGCGTAAGACCCGTTTTTGATCGTCGCTCAGGTGAACATCGGGGAGATCACAACCAGTCCCATAGAAGGCTGGGTGCGGATCGCGAACTTGGACGTGGGAAACCCGACGGCCCACGAGTACCTCTCGACGTATCTGCTCAGAGCCAAAGAGATTCAGGTGGATCTGGACATGAGCGTGCTGGCCAAAAGCTTAGGCAAAACGATCGAAGTCGAGGAGGTGACACTCAGGGGCGTGAGCGTCATTGTGGAGAAAGGCCGCGAGTCGTCAAATCTCCAGGACCTCATCGACCACCTGCAGAAGCTTGCAGAGCCGGACGATGGGCAGGCAGCTGACGCCGTCGCCGTCACGTCTGCGACCGCGCCGAAGGCGTCTCAGGTCAAGGTGATCCTGCGGAAGCTGGTGGTCAAAGACGTCGGCGCCCAGATCATGGTGCCGCATCTCTTCTGCGGCGCCCGCCATCACATCCAGATCGCCGACATCGAGGAGACGGACTTCCACTCGCAGTACGCCGACGCCAACGGAGCAATCTCGATGACCACGATGATCAGTACCGTGGCCACCATCCTTCTGAGGTCCATCGGGAAGTCCATAGTCGCCAACACCATAGGCCGTTCGACAGCGGACTGGCTCATGGAGTGAAGTGTGGGGGCTCCGCCTGTTTCCCGTCGTCGTCCTCCTCCTCCCCTCCGCGCGCGCCTGGCATGGAGCAGGAGGGGGAGGGGGCGACAGCGATGAGGACGGACTCGGATCCAGAACTGTGGCCCACGCTGGGGCGGTAGCGCCTTTTTCCCAACGACGGGAGCAAGCCGCCGATCCGAATGTGGGGCTCACGCTGCAGCGGGAGTGCCGTTTTCAAATGCCGAGCCAGCGCAACAGAACACACACACACACATACACTGGGAGAATCCTGCGTGTGCAAACAATCTGCGGAAGGGGCGATACACCTTACGGGCAGAGTCAGGGGAGATAGCAGAGTAATACTTAGAAGCTATACCTGCGGATGGGCTACCGTCTCGTTGTTGCCGCCCCCACTTCTCTTCGAGGAGGCCGGAGGCAACGCGTTTGTGACCCGCCAGAGTGTCCAAGTTGGCTGCGCTGGGGCAGTGGCTGGGTCCTACTCCACTGGACAGGGGGCAGGAGTTGGATGGAGACGGGAAGCAGGAGGTGGCGATGATGGGACGGAACGTAGGATGGGAGAATGGAGGGGAGGACAGATGAGGGGGGTGGGGGTGATGAGCAGGAAGGGGGAGGAGGATGAGGATGAGGAGATAGGGGAGGAGGAAGAGGAGGAGGAGGAGGATAGGGGAGGAGGAGGAGGAGGGAGGAGGAGGAGGAGGAGGAGGAGGAGGAGGAGGAGGAGGCGGAGGGGGGGGAGACGAGGGAGGATCAGGAGGAGGCAGGGGAGGAGGAGGAGAGGAGGAGGGGAAGGAGGAGGACGAAGAGGAGGAGGAGGAGGAGGAGGATGAGGAGGAGGAGGAGGTGGAAGTGGAGGGAGAGCCGGGGGGGGGGGTGAAATCAGGAGAAAGGATGATGTAGGATAATGGACGGGAGGAGGGAAGAGAGGAGGAGGAGGAGGAGGAGGAGGAGGAGGAGGAGGAGGAGGCGGACGAGGAGTTGGAGGAGGAGGAGGAGGAGAACAGAGTATGACTAGATTGAGGATATGAAGGAAGGCGAATTTCGAGATACTATCGGAGGAGGGTGCGGGGGATGGCCTGCTCGGCCGCTCTCGAGCCCTCCAAACCCTCATTCGCCTCCGACCCCCGTCCTTCTCCTGCCTCTTGGTTCTTGATGTGATTCGGAGGTAAACTGCTTTTCAGGTGAGGGGCGCAGGTCGGACATCATGCCTAGGGTCCCTTTGGATGGCCAGAAGACTGCTGCTGTGCTCTCGGGGCGCCTGCGGTGTGGCACGCGAGCACGGCAGTTTGGTCGTCAAACTTGGGAGTGCGGGCACGCCTCGCTGCCCGCAGCCCCCACTTGACCTGGGCGCACTGTGCCCCTACAGTGCGGGCCCATGCCAAGAAACACTCTGCTTGCCCCCGGAGTGCCCTGAGTTTCTGGGGCCTCGATGGACGTGCCATGGAAAGCGCTGCGTTCCCACAATAGAGATGAAGGGACGTTCTGGGGTCCAAGGGTTGGGTTTCTTGTGCAAGGTTTCTTGTGGACGCTGGATCCTGGATGGTGTCACAAGTCCCGACCTGGCCGACATACCCTTTTCGCACCCTCGCGCGCGCAGGCACACGATGCCTGCCTCGACGAGCTCAGCCCAACGCCCCGCGAATGACAGCCTCCTCCTCCTCCCCCTCCTCCTCCTCCTCCTCCTTCTCCTCCTCCTCTTGCTCCTCCTACTCCTCTCTCCTCCTCCTGCTCTCTTCTCCTCCTCCTCCTCTTCCTCCTCGTCCTCCTCCTCCTCCTCCTCCTTCTCCTCCTCCTCCTCTCTCCTCCTTTTTCCTCCCTCCGTCACATTTGCTGAGGCGCCCAGAGCGGGCCGCAACATGAACACGTTTCCCCGCCCCTCTGCCCCGCGGAGGGAGGGGGCAACGCAGAACAGCAGCCGGAGGGTCGCCGTTGCCACCGCTCCCGCCGCCGTCGCCGTCGTCGCCGCCGCCTGGTCGTCGTCGTCGTCGTCGTCGGCGGCGGCGGCGGCGGCGGCGGCGGGGCGGCGAGCGCCGTCAGTGTGGCGCCGTCCGCGGGCGCCCGGCAGGCGAATCCCGTACGGCCCAAAGTTCCAGTCGGGATGGAGCCTGAAGTACCTCACGGGCCACCGAGTGGGGGGGCGCAGACGGGCGAGGGGGGGCGAAGGCAGACGAGGGGGGCGGGGATTTGTCGGAGAGGGCAGGGGGGGGGGGCGCAGACGGAGGAGGAGGAAGAGGAGGAGGAGGAGGAGGAGGAGGAGGCGGATGCTGCAGGTACCAGGCACAGCCCCGAGAAGGAGGCGGAGGAGGCGGAACCAGGGCGCGGATGGGGGGATGCTGCTGCTGACGATGACGATGACGATGGTGGTGGTGTTGGTGGTGGTTGTGGTGACGACGGCGGAGATGATGATGATGATGATGATGATGATGATGATGATGATGATGATGATGATGATGATGATGATGATGATGATGATGACGATGATGATGATGACGATGATGATGATGATGATGACGATGATGATGATGATGATGATGATGATGATGATGGTGATGATGTGATGATAAAGTGTGATGTTGGTGATGATGATGCTGCTGATGATGGTGCTTGTGATGATGAGGATGATGCCGATGGTGGTGCTGACGCAGATGCAGACGATCATGGACATGGCGATTGTGGCGGTAGTGGTGATCGTTATCCAATAGTGATCCAGTCGATGGTGTTGTTGATGATGATCATGGTGCTGATGACGAGCATGGTGATTATGATGATGCTGAGTATGCTGATGATGGTTGTGGTTGTGGTGGTGATGATGGGGATGCTGATGGCGATGATAGTGTTGGTGCTGGTCCTGGTGGTAATGCTGGCGATGCTGGGGCTAATGATGTTCACGCGGTTGTTGACGATGTTGATGTTGATGCCGACGATGTATGATGATGATGCTGATGATGATGCTGTTGTTGTTGATGATGATGATGATGATGATGATGATGATGATGATGATGATGATGATGATTTTTTTCCTCGACGTCAGGACCAATACCTGATATCAAAATATGGTATACACTGAAACCAGACTTGAGAGATCCGTCGCAGAGAGCCGACTGTCTCGTGTTGCCCCGCTTGGGCCAGACTGCCAGGGTGCTGCTCGGAGGGGCCTCCTGCGCAGCGCGTGCCTAGCAGCGTCGAAATGCTAGCTGAATAACATTGGCCGCTTCGTCTTCGGCAATTGAACTCAGGTGGGGTGGGGCCTCCACCTCACGCAGCTCCTCTGCGTGTGCTGGCACGGCAGGGGGGGGGGAGGCACGACGGAGGAGGGCGGGATGTGACCGTGACCGTGCTGCTACTGGCAGGGAGGCTTTAGCCTCGAACAAAAATTGACACGGCGTGGACTCGCCTCCTCTGCGCTGTGGCCTGCGCTGTGGCGTGCAGGCTCGCTCTGGCAGAAAGACAGGCTCGCTCTGGCAAAAAGGCGGGTTCACTGCTCGAGCGTCTCTAGCCAGTGGCCTACCTCCTCCTCGGGCCAGCCCACTGGGGCCACGCCTCGGTGGTGGACCGCCTGGCCCTCCCACATGGGCGCGCCGATCACCAGCTTCTGCTTGGTGTCATCGTAGCGGTGCCCGAGCCCTTCGAGCCCTGGGAGGGGTCCAGTGGGAGTCGCCACTTCGCTCTCCGCTTGGGCGTCGTCCCCCTGTCCAGGGAGAGCAGGCGTAGAGGAAACATTAGCCACTCGGATCGCCCGCGTGGGCGCTACATATACTGCTGCTGGGCGCTGTGCTGCTTGTAGCCGTCGAAGTGGTCGATGTTTAGGTATGCTGCGTAGGTCGCTGCCCGCGATGTGTTCCACCGGCTGGCAGTTGGACACGCTTACATCAGGGGTGTCCTCGATGGCGGGCGAGGGACGGCATCTGGATGGCGCAGGGCGCGGCGGGGGAGCACTTGGAGTGGCCGAGCGCGTGGTAATCCGTTTCTGGCACGACCCGATGTTGCACTCGAAGGTGGGGTTTGTCTCGTCGTCGGTGTCCGTCCCGTCGTGCGTTGTCGCCGAGAGGAGGGAAGAGGTGCTCACGCTGGCCTCGGGGGGAGCCCACTGATCCATCTTGACAACTCGGAGGGCCTCCTTGTGTTTGCTAATCTCGGCGTAGGCGTCGTTGAGAGAAGACGCACGGTGGGCGCCCGTCTGGAGCCCAGCAGCAAGTAGGCCATAGTCCCAGCGGGTGCTGTTGTTCGTGATGTTGGCGCCGCTGACAGGCGTCTTGGTCTGCATAATCATGGGGATGTGGTCGGCAACATGCAGTAGGCTACTTAGCTTGGTGTGGATTTTCCAATTCAGCTTCACGTGCTTCACGATTTCCATGAAGTTGTCGTGGCTGATGAAGTAGTTGATGCTTGATATGGCTTTGTTGTACCCGTAGTAGGTATTGCCGACGTCGATGTGCATGTTGATGGCCGTCGTGAATCAAGCGTCCGAGCTCGGTCTCGTCGCTGGGCTGGTAGCTGCCGATTGCGTTGTCGGTGCGGCGCTGTCGTGATCGCCGTCCTGGCCCTTGGTTGAGGTCCGTGAACAGGATGGGCATGACGCGAATATGGATGTCGGTATGTGCCTGCGGTACCCAGCTCCATGGTCGGCGGCATCCTGCTTTCCAGTGTTGGTAATGACCTGCTCCGTTCGGCCGCGGTGGGGGATGCGCAGCAGTGGGTCGAGAGCGGGGCTGGCCTCGATGAAGCTCGACGGCGCCCGCGCCCCGTAGGTCAGATGGGGGGTGCCGTACCTTATCGATATCTATCTTGCGGCTTTGGCGCTTGGATACTGCGATGCTGCGACTTGCTGAGCTGCTCGTGTGTGCCCCGCAACCCCATCCGAAATGGACCCATGTATGATAGCGGCGGTCCTCGAAATGATGCGGGGCGTCGGTGGTGCACTGGCGGATCTTAATGCCTGCGTACATCATAGTCTGATTTGCACGGCACGTGTCGGAGATGTGGTCGAGATGCCCTGGGACATCCAGTAGTCCTTCGCGAGCTGGGTGTGGATGTAGTTGTCCAGGTGGCAGGTCACGTTCGGCGTGCAATTGTTCCACTGGTAGTAATTCAGGAGCTGCGTGGTGTGATCCTGCATGTGCTGGCCCTCTGCGTTCTGCCTCGATGTCCTCGGTCTCCGCTCGGCGCAGGCGGTTCCGAATGGCACCCTCCATGGAGCCGCCCACGTCACACTTGTACAGTCCTTCCAAGATCGCCAGCGCGAAGGGGGGCGCTGGCGACCCTATCTCCTGCAGGCGTTTCTTGTCCTCTGGGGTGTCGCTCTTCCTGAGGGGGGAGTCCAGGGTGTACTTGTAGCCTTCGATCTCCTGCTTGATGGCTATGATCCCTGGGAGCTCTTTCCTCATCGTGTAGGTGTCCGTATTGTTGCTGCCATTCAGCCTGGTCTTGTGCGTCGTTTGAAGCAGCATGTGGCAAGTCACGTTCAGCGTGCAATCGTTCCACTGGTGGCAATTCAGGGGCCGCGTGGTGTAGTTCTGCATGTGTTGGCCCTCTGTGTTCGTGGGGATGTTGAAATTGAAGCGCAGCGTCCAGTAGTTCGGGGTCAGCGTGTCGCAGTCCTGCCTGTGCCGGCCCTCTGTGTTCGTGGAGATGTTGAACTTGAGGCTCAGCGTCCAGTCCTGCACGTACTGGCCCTCTGTGTTCGTGAGGATGTTGAATTTGAAGTTTTGCGTCCAGTCGTTCAGGGTCAGCGTGTTGTAATCCTGCATGTGCTGGCCCTCTATGTCGGTGATGATGTTGGAGTTGATTTTGCAGTGTCCAGCAGTCCTTCGCAATCTGGGTGGGGTAGTCCATGTGGCCAGTCACGTTCAGCGTGCAATTGTTCCACTTGTGGCAATTCATGGGCCGCGTGGTGTGCCTGTGCTGGCCCTCTGTGTTCGTGATGATGTTGAAGTTGAAGCTCAGCGTCCAGTAGGTCAGGGTCAGCGTAGCGAGTCCTGTGCTCAGCAGGTGCGCGGCGCCCGCGCCCCGGAGCACGGCCGTGGCGGCCCGGCGATGTGCGGGGCGTCGTCAAGCGGCCCCCTGCCTTTAGGGCATGGCAAGGGGGCGGTGACTGGATGCCGCTGCTCCATCAATGGCCTGAGCGCGCGGCGGCCTGTGATTATGATGATGAAACTGATGACGATGATGATGATGATGATGATGATGCTGTTGGTGATCATGATGCTGATGTTGCTGATGATGATAGTATGGATGATGATGATGAGGATTATGATGATGAGGATGATGCGATTGATGCTGTTGATGATGGTGATGCTGGTGATGATGTCGATGATGGTGGGGATGATGCTGATGATGATGCCGGCGATTATTATTTACCGCTCGCAGGGCGCCCGCGGAGGCCAAGGGCTCAGGCAGGGCGCGCCGTTCCCGTTCCGAGGCCGCGCCGTCGACGCCCTTCCTCTCATTCAGGGTCGGGGAGGGTGGACGCTGCACGGCTCCGCGGGGGCGACCTGGCGGCATGAAACGCCCCGCCCCGGCAAGCCCATCAAGGGCTAAGCCGCGCGCGGCGCCCTCTGCTACCGAGGCCAAGGGCGAGGCAGCGAAGGGCAGTGGCCCATCGGGGGCAGAGGCGCCACCATGGCGATGGAACGCAGTTCT